ACTAGCAGCTACTTAAGTACCTAAGAGGACGAGGGCAGAGGCTAAGGGCAGAGGGCAGAGGCTAACCCTCTCTCTCTCTCTCTCTCGCTCTCTCGATTGAGCGAAATTTTTCAGGCCCACAAATGAATAATGAGCCAAGGAGGCACTAGCAGCTACTTAAGTACCTAAGAGGACGAGGGCAGAGGCTAAGGGCAGAGGGCAGAGGCTAACCCTCTCTCTCTCTCTCTCGCTCTCTCGATTGAGCGAAATTTTTCAGGCCCACAAATGAATAATGAGCCAAGGAGGCACTAGCAGCTACTTAAGTACCTAAGAGGACGAGGGCAGAGGCTAAGGGCAGAGGGCAGAGGCTAACCCTCTCTCTCTCTCTCTCGCTCTCTCGATTGAGCGAAATTTTTCAGGCCCACAAATGAATAATGAGCCAAGGAGGCACTAGCAGCTACTTAAGTACCTAAGAGGACGAGGGCAGAGGCTAAGGGCAGAGGGCAGAGGCTAACCCTCTCTCTCTCTCTCTCGCTCTCTCGATTGAGCGAAATTTTTCAGGCCCACAAATGAATAATGAGCCAAGGAGGCACTAGCAGCTACTTAAGTACCTAAGAGGACGAGGGCAGAGGCTAAGGGCAGAGGGCAGAGGCTAACCCTCTCTCTCTCTCTCTCGCTCTCTCGATTGAGCGAAATTTTTCAGGCCCACAAATGAATAATGAGCCAAGGAGGCACTAGCAGCTACTTAAGTACCTAAGAGGACGAGGGCAGAGGCTAAGGGCAGAGGGCAGAGGCTAACCCTCTCTCTCTCTCTCTCTCGCTCTCTCGATTGAGCGAAATTTTTCAGGCCCACAAATGAATAATGAGCCAAGGAGGCACTAGCAGCTACTTAAGTACCTAAGAGGACGAGGGCAGAGGCTAAGGGCAGAGGGCAGAGGCTAACCCTCTCTCTCTCTCTCTCGCTCTCTCGATTGAGCGAAATTTTTCAGGCCCACAAATGAATAATGAGCCAAGGAGGCACTAGCAGCTACTTAAGTACCTAAGAGGACGAGGGCAGAGGCTAAGGGCAGAGGGCAGAGGCTAACCCTCTCTCTCTCTCTCTCGCTCTCTCGATTGAGCGAAATTTTTCAGGCCCACAAATGAATAATGAGCCAAGGAGGCACTAGCAGCTACTTAAGTACCTAAGAGGACGAGGGCAGAGGCTAAGGGCAGAGGGCAGAGGCTAACCCTCTCTCTCTCTCTCTCGCTCTCTCGATTGAGCGAAATTTTTCAGGCCCACAAATGAATAATGAGCCAAGGAGGCACTAGCAGCTACTTAAGTACCTAAGAGGACGAGGGCAGAGGCTAAGGGCAGAGGGCAGAGGCTAACCCTCTCTCTCTCTCTCTCTCGCTCTCTCGATTGAGCGAAATTTTTCAGGCCCACAAATGAATAATGAGCCAAGGAGGCACTAGCAGCTACTTAAGTACCTAAGAGGACGAGGGCAGAGGCTAAGGGCAGAGGGCAGAGGCTAACCCTCTCTCTCTCTCTCTCGCTCTCTCGATTGAGCGAAATTTTTCAGGCCCACAAATGAATAATGAGCCAAGGAGGCACTAGCAGCTACTTAAGTACCTAAGAGGACGAGGGCAGAGGCTAAGGGCAGAGGGCAGAGGCTAACCCTCTCTCTCTCTCTCTCGCTCTCTCGATTGAGCGAAATTTTTCAGGCCCACAAATGAATAATGAGCCAAGGAGGCACTAGCAGCTACTTAAGTACCTAAGAGGACGAGGGCAGAGGCTAAGGGCAGAGGGCAGAGGCTAACCCTCTCTCTCTCTCTCTCGCTCTCTCGATTGAGCGAAATTTTTCAGGCCCACAAATGAATAATGAGCCAAGGAGGCACTAGCAGCTACTTAAGTACCTAAGAGGACGAGGGCAGAGGCTAAGGGCAGAGGGCAGAGGCTAACCCTCTCTCTCTCTCTCTCGCTCTCTCGATTGAGCGAAATTTTTCAGGCCCACAAATGAATAATGAGCCAAGGAGGCACTAGCAGCTACTTAAGTACCTAAGAGGACGAGGGCAGAGGCTAAGGGCAGAGGGCAGAGGCTAACCCTCTCTCTCTCTCTCTCGCTCTCTCGATTGAGCGAAATTTTTCAGGCCCACAAATGAATAATGAGCCAAGGAGGCACTAGCAGCTACTTAAGTACCTAAGAGGACGAGGGCAGAGGCTAAGGGCAGAGGGCAGAGGCTAACCCTCTCTCTCTCTCTCTCTCGCTCTCTCGATTGAGCGAAATTTTTCAGGCCCACAAATGAATAATGAGCCAAGGAGGCACTAGCAGCTACTTAAGTACCTAAGAGGACGAGGGCAGAGGCTAAGGGCAGAGGGCAGAGGCTAACCCTCTCTCTCTCTCTCTCGCTCTCTCGATTGAGCGAAATTTTTCAGGCCCACAAATGAATAATGAGCCAAGGAGGCACTAGCAGCTACTTAAGTACCTAAGAGGACGAGGGCAGAGGCTAAGGGCAGAGGGCAGAGGCTAACCCTCTCTCTCTCTCTCTCTCGCTCTCTCGATTGAGCGAAATTTTTCAGGCCCACAAATGAATAATGAGCCAAGGAGGCACTAGCAGCTACTTAAGTACCTAAGAGGACGAGGGCAGAGGCTAAGGGCAGAGGGCAGAGGCTAACCCTCTCTCTCTCTCTCTCGCTCTCTCGATTGAGCGAAATTTTTCAGGCCCACAAATGAATAATGAGCCAAGGAGGCACTAGCAGCTACTTAAGTACCTAAGAGGACGAGGGCAGAGGCTAAGGGCAGAGGGCAGAGGCTAACCCTCTCTCTCTCTCTCTCGCTCTCTCGATTGAGCGAAATTTTTCAGGCCCACAAATGAATAATGAGCCAAGGAGGCACTAGCAGCTACTTAAGTACCTAAGAGGACGAGGGCAGAGGCTAAGGGCAGAGGGCAGAGGCTAACCCTCTCTCTCTCTCTCTCGCTCTCTCGATTGAGCGAAATTTTTCAGGCCCACAAATGAATAATGAGCCAAGGAGGCACTAGCAGCTACTTAAGTACCTAAGAGGACGAGGGCAGAGGCTAAGGGCAGAGGGCAGAGGCTAACCCTCTCTCTCTCTCTCTCGCTCTCTCGATTGAGCGAAATTTTTCAGGCCCACAAATGAATAATGAGCCAAGGAGGCACTAGCAGCTACTTAAGTACCTAAGAGGACGAGGGCAGAGGCTAAGGGCAGAGGGCAGAGGCTAACCCTCTCTCTCTCTCTCTCGCTCTCTCGATTGAGCGAAATTTTTCAGGCCCACAAATGAATAATGAGCCAAGGAGGCACTAGCAGCTACTTAAGTACCTAAGAGGACGAGGGCAGAGGCTAAGGGCAGAGGGCAGAGGCTAACCCTCTCTCTCTCTCTCTCGCTCTCTCGATTGAGCGAAATTTTTCAGGCCCACAAATGAATAATGAGCCAAGGAGGCACTAGCAGCTACTTAAGTACCTAAGAGGACGAGGGCAGAGGGCAGAGGCTAAGTCCTCTCTCTCTCTCTCTCTCGCTCTCTCGATTGAGCGAAATTTTTCAGGCCCACAAATGAATAATGAGCCAAGGAGGCACTAGCAGCTACTTAAGTACCTAAGAGGACGAGGGCAGAGGCTAAGGGCAGAGGGCAGAGGCTAACCCTCTCTCTCTCTCTCTCGCTCTCTCGATTGAGCGAAATTTTTCAGGCCCACAAATGAATAATGAGCCAAGGAGGCACTAGCAGCTACTTAAGTACCTAAGAGGACGAGGGCAGAGGGCAGAGGCTAACCCTCTCTCTCTCTCTCTCGCTCTCTCGATTGAGCGAAATTTTTCAGGCCCACAAATGAATAATGAGCCAAGGAGGCACTAGCAGCTACTTAAGTACCTAAGAGGACGAGGGCAGAGGCTAAGGGCAGAGGGCAGAGGCTAACCCTCTCTCTCTCTCTCTCGCTCTCTCGATTGAGCGAAATTTTTCAGGCCCACAAATGAATAATGAGCCAAGGAGGCACTAGCAGCTACTTAAGTACCTAAGAGGACGAGGGCAGAGGCTAAGGGCAGAGGGCAGAGGCTAACCCTCTCTCTCTCTCTCTCGCTCTCTCGATTGAGCGAAATTTTTCAGGCCCACAAATGAATAATGAGCCAAGGAGGCACTAGCAGCTACTTAAGTACCTAAGAGGACGAGGGCAGAGGCTAAGGGCAGAGGGCAGAGGCTAACCCTCTCTCTCTCTCTCTCGCTCTCTCGATTGAGCGAAATTTTTCAGGCCCACAAATGAATAATGAGCCAAGGAGGCACTAGCAGCTACTTAAGTACCTAAGAGGACGAGGGCAGAGGCTAAGGGCAGAGGGCAGAGGCTAACCCTCTCTCTCTCTCTCTCGCTCTCTCGATTGAGCGAAATTTTTCAGGCCCACAAATGAATAATGAGCCAAGGAGGCACTAGCAGCTACTTAAGTACCTAAGAGGACGAGGGCAGAGGCTAAGGGCAGAGGGCAGAGGCTAACCCTCTCTCTCTCTCTCTCGCTCTCTCGATTGAGCGAAATTTTTCAGGCCCACAAATGAATAATGAGCCAAGGAGGCACTAGCAGCTACTTAAGTACCTAAGAGGACGAGGGCAGAGGGCAGAGGCTAACCCTCTCTCTCTCTCTCTCGCTCTCTCGATTGAGCGAAATTTTTCAGGCCCACAAATGAATAATGAGCCAAGGAGGCACTAGCAGCTACTTAAGTACCTAAGAGGACGAGGGCAGAGGCTAAGGGCAGAGGGCAGAGGCTAACCCTCTCTCTCTCTCTCTCGCTCTCTCGATTGAGCGAAATTTTTCAGGCCCACAAATGAATAATGAGCCAAGGAGGCACTAGCAGCTACTTAAGTACCTAAGAGGACGAGGGCAGAGGGCAGAGGCTAAGCCTCTCTCTCTCTCTCTCTCTCTCTCGCTCTCTCGATTGAGCGAAATTTTTCAGGCCCACAAATGAATAATGAGCCAAGGAGGCACTAGCAGCTACTTAAGTACCTAAGAGGACGAGGGCAGAGGCTAAGGGCAGAGGGCAGAGGCTAACCCTCTCTCTCTCTCTCTCTCTCTCTCTCTCTCTCTCTCCTCTCTCTCCTCTCCTCTCTCCTCTCTCTCTCTCTCTCTCTCTCTCTCTCTCTCTCTCTCTCTCTCTCTCTCTCTCTCTCTCTCCTCTCTCTCTCTCTCTCTCTCTCTCTCTCTCTCTCTCTCTCTCTCTCTCTCTCGGTCCTTGTATTGATATAACGGGTGAGTACAAACAAACAAGGCAGCATAAAAACAGGCAACACTAGAGACTAAAAACAACCTAGCAACAAACCAGATCCTAAGAACATCCTACAACCCCAAATTCCCCCCCCCCCCCCCCAAAAGAAGTGGCGGGAGTGGTGGCGGTGGGAGCTTAACAGTAGGCTCGAGCACTGCAAAACAGTCCCCTAGGGACATTTCCTCCCCAGGGGCCCCAACAAGAGGGTTCAGGGCTTCTGATGCCAGGTTGCACTTGGCCATATAGCTTACGGCCTGCCCTCGCTGAAGGGCGACCGACCATCGCTGGCGGAACTGGTTGAGTAGTTTTGCCGCTTGGTAGGTTGAAGGGTCGGCGTTGAAGAGCCTGCGTGCAGCCGTGTGAGCCAAGAGCTTTAGGTCCCCGCTTTCCTGCGCACGGGCAGCCATAGGTCTCAACTGCAAGGGGTACGAATTCAACGTAGGCTGTCGGGGAGCCGCTGTAATATGAGATTTTCTTGTCAGCGGCTTCCCTGGCAGCCCACCCCCTCCCTTTCACCGCGTTGGGGTCGCGCGTGCTGATGGGGTCACTGATGGTGACGTCCCCAATCCACACTGCCCCTGAGGACCGATCACGAATGGCTAGGTCCGCTGTCTTCCTAGTGACCGGGCAGAACTCCGTCGTTTCCTTGTGCCCCATGAACCCGGCAAACTGTACCATCCTAACACACTCGTCCCTCAGCTCGTTGTGAGTATTTTTCCGTCCCCCTCCTGTGGCGCAGCGTAGCAGATGGTTTGGAAGCCGTTTGTCTGGGATGGGAACCTGTTTGGTGCAGTCACAAGCGCCGGGGGCTGAAAATGGTAGTCCTAGCCTGAACTGGAGGGCTGTGGCAAAGTGGGGATCGTCAAGCCTCAGGGAGGGCATGACTGGAACTGCGTGGAGCCAGTCCCCAGCTCCGTACCCTGACAGAGAGAGAAGGCACTGCGTGTGGCCGCTATTGGGGTTTGGGGTCATGCTCCGTGTGCTCTCCACTTGGTTTGCATACCTCCTGCCCTGAACCGCCAAAGCTAGACCCTGCTGCAGCTTCGCACCCGTGGGAGCAGCCCTGTCACTTTGAAGTAGCTCCACTGGTTCACTCGGTAGGTCTTCCTCGCAGCGAGCTAGCCAGCCGTAGAGAGCGCAGGAGTCTGTGTACGGCCCCATCATCTGCACCCGTGTCTCCGCCAAGGGCCCTAACTGGCTATCTTCAAGAGTTGAGAGCAGCTGCTGTGCCTGGGTAAAGCTTGCTAGGTAGCTGTAGCTGCCCTCTACCACAGGGTCAGTGATTCCGAGGCCCCCAAGTGACACTGGCAGCGAAGCTTGGGATCATGTATGAGAGATTTCAGCGTCACCTCGCGGATGCCTAATGCCACATGCCGTTAAAAGCGTCTCAAACAACTGCCTACCCCAACCGGACCACTCATTCAGTGGCAAATGCATGAGGGGTGTGGTCCGGATGACGTAAGAAACTCGTCTTGAGATACACCGGGAGAGTAGAAGGGCAGCCAGCTGAGGTTCCATCCGTCCTATTAGGCCGAGAGGTGCCGCCATGGAACTAAGGTTTGAGCGAATGAAGTCCGCTGTGGCATCATCCGAGCCTATGAAACTGCCCAGCAGCTTCACGCCGTTTCCAGTGAACGGGACACCCTGAGGTAAGGCAGTGGTGGGGATGCCTGACTGTGACCAGGCCGCGCATTTAGATGTAGGCCGATTGACATGAGGCTCTCTGTGAAGTGCTGAAACGCCGCTACGCAGGTAGATTGCTCCCCAGGAGGTGACATCGTCTGCGTACGCTAGACAGGCTACAGTTGGGAAGGCTTGGGCTGTAGCTTGTAGCGTAGGATTGATTGCAGCTGCAAATAGCAGTGGTCCTAGTGGGTCTCCCTGCCGAACTCCCATCATGCTCAGCAGGGGCTCATGCTTGAACCCCTCGTCTAGGTAGAGCAGTGAGGGGGCCCCGTAGGTGAGCTATACTAGTGGTAGTAGTGGTGCTAGAGCGGAGTTGTCTAGCGCTGATGCTATTACGGCTCTGTTGACACTGTTGAAGGCGTTGGCTAGGTTCGCCTAGAGGACTAGAGTAGATGATTTCTCAGATTGGTAGGCGCGGGTGATGTGAATTACTGCCTCCGCTCCCCCAGGTACTGCCACGCCGAACTGGTGTCAACATCAGAGCTGTTTTGGCGGTGAGTCTGGTGATGCTCTCTCCAATAGCAATCGGCCTGGAGAGAGCCAGTAGGCGAGATACTGTGAGGAGCCTGGCGACTGGGGGTGGCAGTTTCCCGGTCAGAATGGTGTTGACCATTGCATGGAGGTTTGTCGCCACTGACTGGTTGACTAGGCAGGCCTCCCGCAAGTGTTCGAATGTCTGGCCTGATGGGCCCGCCCCAATCCCATTGTCGCAGCGTGACAGGACTCTGAGAAACTCGGGCAGGGTGGAGGTCAAGTGGCCGTTGGTGTCAGGTACCGGCCAAACCAGGGGTGCGTCAGGAGCCGGTGGGTGCTTGGCGCGCAGTGTTTCCAGGATTTCTGGTGACGGGGTGCACACCGGCGTCGCCTCTAGGGCCAGAACCACTCGCCTCAGGCTGCCACGTCGCACAAGGCCCTCTGCCCTTGCAATCACTCCTATGTCGTCAGGGGTGTGGCTGGGCGCTTGAGGGTAGGTCAGAGAGTCCAGCGTGTCCGAGTACAGTGCACTCCACTCCCCCGCCAAGAACTGTCGTAATCTTGCTCTAACTGCGGGCTAATCAGGTTTTTGAGGGGTGTGTGGTCTCAGCGTCAGGCGTGCGAGGAACAGAAAGACTGTCCACGGTGTCAGTGATTCTGGGTCGTCGGCCAGTCGGAGCAGAGGAGCTAGCAGCGCAGTCGCGAAAATTGGGCGAATGTCCAGTGGGAGGTGGCGTGGCAGGGGTGCGTTGCGACTGTCGCAGAGTTTTGACAGGTCCCAGGTTTCCACGGCAGCAAAAAGCGTGTTATCAGCAGCCAGTGATTCAGGCGATTTTTCTGTAGGTGGTTGCGTGCGGTTTGGCGGTGCGATGGTGGGTTGGGTAGGGTTGGGACGGCCAAATGATGCAGAAATTGGGGCGGCTCGAGAGGAGGGGGAAATTTCTGCAGGTGCGGCTCGAATTCCAAGACCAACCCCAATTCCGTGTGCGACTCGAATTGTTGTTGGTCGTCTTCCCCTCGGCAGGCTCCTCTCCTCAGCCGAGTCCTCTGTGGTAGACTCGGCTTCATCAGATGGGATAAAAGAGGCAACGCAAGCCTCGTCATCCTCAATAGCCCTTGTTAAAGCCCTCCGCGCAGCTTGTTGGAGCGCGTTCTCAGGCCCTCTGCCACGTCCTCCCGTAGCCTTCCACCCTGCGCCTCCTCCGCATCAAGATGCATGTGTCACTTGGGGCCGATTTCTCGTATTCGCCAAGGCCCTTTGTCGTGGCGTTAGCTGTGAGTGCCCCGCTGGTTATCTCGTCTCCAATGTCGCCCCCAGTGGTGAATCCAGCCTCGGCTCCCCCTGCCGGCCCGGTCCCTCCTCCGAAATTGGCGGCAACACCCCCGTCCGTTGGGGTGTCCGCGCCTGCGCCAGCCGCGTTGCTGCACGCTGCGCCTGCTGGTGCACAGAGCCCTGCACCTGCCGCGACGCCTCCTGCGCCCGTCGTGGCGCCACCCTGTGCGCGTGTGGAGTTGCCGTCTCCTGCGCCCGCTGCGGCGCGGGCTCCTCTGCCTGTCGGACCGCCGACTCTTGCGCCAACGGATGCAAAATCCGCTCCTGCTGTGGAGTCTCCCCCTGTGCCTGCTGTGGCAACGGTACCGGCGCTTGCTGCTACGCCTGCTGCACCCGCAGCTGCAATGCCACCCCTGCCTACTGGGGTTGTGGGGAATCCGTCGCCCGCGGCTCCGACCTCCTATGCTCCGGCCGCTGATTCCCCTGCTGTTGCGTGCCCCGCCCTTTCTGCTGTCGGTGTGCCTTCTGTGCTGCCTCCGGCCAATGGATTGGCGTTCCCTCCAGCGTCCGCCACCACCACTGTCTTGACTCCGGCAGAGGCGGGGGAGGCGGTGGCAACCGCGCCGGCTCCGATGTCATGAGCGCCCTAGCCTGCTCGCCGTCCGCCGTTGCCTGATCGCCGCCATTCCTGTCACCCCTCCCCGTCTTGGTCAGCAGAGCGTGAGTCGGCGCGTCGTTGCCGTGACTCTCCTCAGCACCAACCTCCCCCTGCGCACTAGAATTCCCACCGTGGCGGTCGCGGTGGTTGGAGGGGGGGTCGCGGGCGTGGATGTGGCGGTGCATATGTGCAGCCGTTGACGCTTGCGGACGTGCAACGGGTTTTGTCAGCTGCAATGCGCGAGGAGAGAGCAGGGCAGGCGAGCCAGAGCAGCTAATTGCCGGTCGCACCCGCCCCTGTAGCTCCCCCTCCGCCTGCTCTCCTTGTGAATGCCCGTCGGCAGATGCACCTCCTCCTCCTGCTCCGGCGGTTTCAGCTGCCGCGCCAGCGGGGCCCTCTCTGCTGCAGTGGGCACCCCCGCTTCGTCCAGTAGAGGTCCTTAAGGCGACCTTGGGGCAGCTGTGGTGCCTCTCGGAGAGCCTGCGTGCCATTCACCTGATCCAGGTGTATGGCCACCTTGCTCTCTCCCGCAGTCGCGGCCCTCTTGACGAGTGCCTTGAAATTTCTGATCAACTCGCGGAGATCCTGGCGCCGTGTTGGCTGCGCCCGCGAGGGGAGGAGTTGCGGGTGTAGGACAGCTTGGTGCGGCCGTCCGTGGTTTGCGCCGGTCCTTGCGCGCAGGAATAGGAGGCGATGTGATTGCCGCAAGCACGAAGGTGGTGCTGGAGTTGCATCGGACTCAGGCAGGGCTTCTCGCCGTTCTTGAGGCGGATCGGATGTAGGATCCGCCGCTGCTTGTCCCATTTTTTAACCTTAGTAGCTAGACACCAGTGCCATGGTTGTATGCCTATGTAGTATGAGCACACGGTTTTTAGTTTTTCTTGCCGACGCTAACGCGCCGCCGAAGGCGGCCAGTGCG